CTACCCACCTCTCCCATATCTATGCTTTCAACATAACTGCCATAAACTCTTCATTGGCATCATGTTTTTCTGATTCTCTCACCTAGTTTCCTGCATCTCCTTGCTGTTGCCTTCAGGATTGAATAGCTGGCCCCTCATTTCTTTTTCTCCCTCTTGCCCAACTCCTTCTTAATGTTCTACACTATGCTACCTGTATCTGCCATATTAAACTTTTCTTCTAGTTACACTTCTGTGGCTTCCTACCCACGTTTTCCCTTGTGTCTGGAAGAACAAAAACTGATTTGAGATACCTTTTGCACAGTGTCTGGTTAGGCTGTGGGATTCAGCTAGCTGCATACTGTGGCAGTGGTGAGAGGAGTAATAAGATTCAAAGAAGGATTTGGCCTTTTTATGGACAATGAACCTAGATACTTTTGTGATAGTTCCTTTCCTTTTTCATGTCCTTATGACAAGGTATTTGACAGAATATGCAGATGTGTTGGAATCTGTGATCACTTCTGCTATAGCCTCAAACTTGTGACCTCTGGGCTTTCAATCATGCACCTTGGCGCCCATGCTGCCCCAGCCCCCTTAGCAATAGTTGATGCTAATATAAGTAGTATTGGAAGGGTGAAAATGCCTTAGGTTTCAGGTTTACACCAGGTACTTTTATTATTTTCATAGAAAGCAACTTATTCTACACATTCCTGTGCTTTTTCCTAAAACAGGGGTGTCATAGATGTGGTTTGTGGGATTCCTGAAGGGGCTGGGATTTGGAGGGTGGGGCCTCGAATCTGGGATATACAGCCCCATTGGGGATGCATTTCGGTGATGGCTGGGCATGTGGCAGCTGCGTTAATCCCTGTGGTTCCCTGACACTTGCTTTGCCACCAGAGGTGCGTCCAGTTCTGGCCCCCAAGAAGCCCCATAATCTGGATCTGGCCCAGGGAGCCAAGTAGGGTGAGTTTGATATCCTTGCCTTGAAAAAGCATCTAATGCTGGTTGCAGTCTGTGATCAGGTACCAGGCTAGATGAACCATGGGTCCAACTCAGCACAGGAGTCCCTGGTTTTCGTTTTGTATTTTGGGTTTTTTTAAACCTAAAGTGATGTCTACATTGTGGTACTGTAGTAAAAATAAGAAAGATGCAGGGGTTGTTGAGGCTTTGGGTTTTTCTTTCTTTCCTTGCTTGGTTTCTTATGGTTGTAAGGCATTGAATTAGTTGCTGGATTGTTCTGATCCTGGTTAATTCATAACTGTTTTGCACTTCCTTCTTCTTCCTCCCCTACCATCCCCTCTAAAATACTGACATCTGACCAAATGTATTCAGGTACTTGAGAGACTGAGATCTAGACAGTTCTGCCTTAGAAATGTGTCATATTACAAACTGTCAACTGGGATAACTAAATATTTTACATTCAACTGATCTCTCTCTTGGAATGTTAAACAGCATTAAGGAGAAGGAAGGGGGGACCTATTTTGTCAATTGAGGGTAGCATCAGTATGTGTTGAATTATCTGCTTGAATATTTTTTTAAGAGTAGATCACAATTCTGAGTTATTACTTAATAATTCGAGGCCCAATCTTTGAATCCTTGCAAGTAGACTTAACCTAAATCACTAGGCATCCTTGTGAGCAAGGGATTGGAAGATCAGTCTCTTTTTTTTTTTTTTTTTTTTTAGTGTAAGTTTGACTAAAGCAGTAGAACTGAACTATAGCCCTCTTTAAGAGATTGGTATGTAATTTAAATCCCAAATTCTGGTTTGTGTGGATTGTTTGGATTTTTGTGGGCTCTTAGAAATCATAATTCTCTTGTGTATTACTTCTATTGCAGGTAATAACATTTGTGAGTGGTTTAAAAAAAAATGTTTTCAAGTCTGATGTTTTTCCTTTCTTATGCAGTTTTTTTTGGTGGGAACTGTGAGGGTGGTTCATAAAGAAAACCTGAGAACACACACAGATCTCATTACTGAAGCAACCGCAGAGTAGGCATTTAAGCAGAATGTAATGAGTGCAAGGAGCAGTCCAAGTGTGAGACCGAGCTGTAGCCAGGCATGCTTAATGCAGCCATTTGGAATCTCCTACAGAATGGCAGTAGGCGACTAAAGCTTTTGAAAGCCTTTAGCCTCAAACATCTTTTCTCATTCTCATTGCGCTAGTAATACACACACTTGTGTGTGTTTGTGTGTACACATGCTATTATTTAGCAGGCTGCTCTTTATCAAAGGAGTGCATAGGTCCCTCTTGGATTCTAATTACAGCTTTGCCTTGGAAAACAACCAAAGGGAAAATAACAAAAGCAAAAACCGTTTCACTCGGTGCCTGAAAAACCAGAAGGAAGGAAAGCAAGCCCTTGTTACATTATACAGCAAGTGTAAATGAGGCGTAGTGCGAGTAAACACATCTGTGCGCAGAAGAAAATATTTTATGAAGGCTTGATGGCAAATCTATTTTAGTTTACTTGGCTTCAGTCTACTGCTTGCCTCTTGATGATAAGAAATGTCTGCCTTAAAAGCAAGGGTACTGGCAGAGTGTGAAGTCTGTAACTTACTTGACCAGTCTTTATCATTTACACCTTATTGTATTAAAAACAGAACTGGAGTGGCTTCTAAAGTGAAAGCAGTAATGACCTGCAGAAAATGCAAATCTTGAAATTTGATTTTTTTTTTTATTTATTTATTTTTTTTTTGACGTACCATCACAGTCTGACATGGCTACCACATATGAGCGTTCAGGATAGTCTCGTACACCCAGCGGAGTTGGCTGAAATTCCAGTGGGAGGTTCTAGTGATGACATAAATGAAAAGCTGTTCCGTTACCACAGTCCTTGATGAAATTGTGGTCTTTGCTCAGATTTTGGTGTGTTCTTTGTTTAATGCACTTCGGTCTTTCCGCTCAGCTCTGGGGCAGGCCTGAGAAAGGAACTAGACATCACTATCTGTGAACTGCACATGTAAGGAGTCATGTGCTGGGTGGGGCCATTCTTCTACCAGTTCCTCCCTTCATCAATACTGTCCCGTATATTATCAACTCTACTTGTAGAAGGACTGAGCTTCAGTGGCCAGTAAAGGAGCTGTGCTCCCGGTTGCTCTTGCTGTTCTTCGTAGCATTGCTGCTATTAATAGAGCATTTAACAGGCTTATTATATATTTTTTCTGATATCTGTACTGAAATGGCAATAAGGAGAGAAGCCTAGTCATCAGGATTGCATTCTGTCACGAAGTGAATAAAAGAAGGAACTATCTGTGTAGACATATATTCTTCAAACATATATTAATTACAATTTTAAACTAAGGAAAATAGTTGTCTTGCTATGCTTTGTTAGCAGACTAGAGCAGTTACTGGCAACCAGACACAAGTGAAATGTAAGCCTTCTCTTGATATAGTCCATATCCATTAATAAGACCCTTAAACAATTGCATAATTTCAAGTTGTATTTTAAATCTTTAGAATATTTTCAGGAAAGCTTTTGCTGGGAGACATTCCAGAGAGGAACTTCCTCCAAGTACTTGCACACCATTAAATTTGTAATAATTTTCCCCCCTCTTAATGTTGGATCATTTTATAAATCCAGACTTCAGTTTGACACACATGATCTGGCTCCAGCAGATGGTAAGCTACTGTTTTCTCCCTCATTGAAATAGAAAAGCTGTACTATGGCGAAAGGATGAAGGAGGGGCATGGTACTGCTGACATACAGTAGATTACTGGGCCTGGTCTAGCGAGAATTAAATCTAGCCAGTGACAATGTACCATCTGGATTGTAATATTGGGTGGGTTTTTATTTTCTTTCTTTGTTGCTATTGAGCGTAAATCTTAAAGTAATTCCCGTGGAAAGATATCTCTGGTTCTGCTAGCATAGTGTCACTATTTGATTAACTGCCCCCTTAGTCTGTTTAGGAACCAAAATACAGTGATTCGTCGAGTAGCTAAATAACATTTAAAATACATTCTGCCTAGGATTTAAGTTCCCACTTGTAGGGACTCTAACCACATTTTGTCCAGGTGAAACACACTTTGTATTTCTGTTTAAAAGAAAACTTCCCCGATGCACTTCGTCACCAGAAGCTTCGAGACGTTGGTGTAGAAGGTGATGTATGCAGAAGTAGTTTTAGAATTAATTTGTATTATTTCTCAATGTGGACATTTAACACTGCCTATAAAATGCTCATAGCATTGTCAATGGAGCACTTTCACTCTAAATTATTAACTATTTTTGAACCTATTGAAAGGAAATATTTTGTACATCTAGCAGTCTCTGAATTTATTGATTCCATTTGTCATCTAGTCAAACAATTCTGCAGTATTTTGGGGCTGTACAATGAGGTTGAGGTGTAGTATGAGCAAATTGAGACTGAGACTGCTGCTGAATTGCTAGAGGTTGTAGAGGTTGCACTGGGTTTCTTTCTAAACTATTTAAATAATGTTCTCGAATGTCATTTTTTGAGCCCTGCTAAGAAGCGCTCAATGCATATTTTTCCAAAGAGAATTCTGTTAGAGTACTTGGGTTGTTGTTAAATAAAGATCTTCCATTTTCAGATGTTCCTTATGAAAATTGACCTATTATTGTTATAAGTAGCAGCAACCAAAGTTACTTTAATTGGAAGATACTTGAGACTAAACAGACAACAGGTTTTATTAGTCTGAACATCAAAACAGGAGTGGGGACATTTTACACACTAGGCTTAAAAGGCAATTTACTGGAATTAGATGGGATTGCTTTGAGGCAAAGTGTTAATTTGTACACTTCACAGGTACTTAATGTGGGACAATGGCCTTGTCTGGCTGTAAGATCTGAGGTTTGCTGTGAGAAGATGCTCAAATAGAAATCAAACTGATTGTCTGTTTTTTATCCTGAGACGTCTCACTTCCAGTTTAGTTTGCCCTTTTTACAATACCTTTCCATATGGCCGTTTTTTCCCTTCTGGCTTGTGTGGTCCTTTAATGAGTCTAGAAGAATAAAGAAGGGTGTTTTTTTTCTTTTTTAAAATAGGAGAATAAGAGGCAAGAACTCTTTTTGTGGGCGATATGTTTTACTGGACTGACTGTGCAGTTGGGAGAAACAGAGATGACCTTTCGGGTACCAGCGTACCCTTCCTCCTCAGGTCTCACATTTTTCCTGCGCTTTCACGACCGCAACATCACCCAAACGTTACCGTTGTAAAATCATGAAATTTGTCACAGGAACTTAGGCAGGTACAGGCTTAAAAATTACTACCTCATTTGCTTTTTAAACATGGACAAAACTAAAGTAAAGTATGTGCCCTTTTAATTAAAATTGTGTTTTATCATTTTCATGGTCTATTGCTCCAGCAGTGTTTTTGTTTGTTTGTTTGTTTTCCTTTTCATAAGGGCACACATTTTCTCAGGTAGAAGGGATCCAAAGCAGTATATGGTGGCAAGAATAATTTTATTTTCTATAGCCTAACTTGTGTACTATGTCATTACACAATTCTGTATATTATCAGTAGAAGTTATTTGTCAAAGACCAGATTTTCTTTGTTCCTTCTATTCTTCTGTTTTTTTTTATTTCAAGAGACCAAAGCCTTGAAGTTAAACGGTCAATTCTGTAACAAACTTTAACATGATTTGGATGCTCAGCATTGATGGCAGGAATAAGTTAGTAACTGTACCTTGTCTGAATAATAAATGTGTGCTTGCTTCTGAGTAAATGTTAACTAATGCACACTAAAGCAGTTCTCAATCCTTGAGACGCACTGCAATAGTTAGATACTGAGCTACTAGCATTACTCTGGGTCGTTATGACAATTGACCTCAGCTATATTTGGCTTTGATGTGACATCTTTTATTAGTAGTCTAAATTTATATCTTCTTCTAAATGAAGATCTTCTGAAAACAGATAGATGAACTGTGAAGTAGTGACTTAGTGTCCCTCAACCTAAGGTTTGAAATATCTGGATGCCCTGGCAAGGGCATATCCAGGATCAGGCAGACCTTCCAGATTTTCCAGTTAGATCATTCTAAGTTACAGCAGTTTAGCACAAATGCCCTGGGAGAAGTAGCGCCTGAGACTGCAAAACCCAAAGGCCCATCTGCACTTTTTGTAATGACATTAAAAGCTCCCAGGTCAGTGTTGCGTTGGGGATTTGCACCAGTGTCCTTGACTGAAATGTCTCCTTTCCCTGCATAAGCATAGCCCAGGGGCGGGCAATTATTTTGGGCGGAGGACTGCTTACCAAGTTTTGGCAAGCTGTCCAGGGCCACATGGGTAGCCCCACCCTTTGACAGGTGCCCCACCCCTGGTTACCGTCTTGTGACTGGAAGTCTTGCCCCCTAACCCCTGACCTTTGCCCCCAGAAGTACTCTTTTCAGTAGGGGGTTTTGCCATCTCAGAACCAGAAAAATACCAAATTATATTCTAAAAAGTGAACATCTAAAACATTCATTAATTTGATTTCAAAAAATGTTTTTGTCCTGGCTTACATGTCTTTGTGTAGTGTACGTAGAGGTGACTGTATAGAATAGCTTAAAATGAAGTCTTATGCTTGTATATTGTGGGTGGTGGGAGACATGGGGGGTGGGTTTAGGTTTGCTGCAGGTATGTGGGGTGTGGGGGAGAGTTTGGGTGCGTCTGTGGAGGGTAGATAGGTGTGGGTGTGGGATGAGGTAGTATGTGGGTGTGTGCATGGATATGTGGGGTGCTGGTGTGTATGGGGTTTCTGGGGGGCTGGATGTGTGAGGGGGGAGGGTGGTTGTGTGTGTGGGGATGTGGGTGTGGGGGCCTGTGTGTATGGTAGTGCAAGGGGGGGTGCATATGTATGGTGGAGTGTACAAGTGGGACTCACCCTACAAACAGACACAAAGTACCTCCACGCACCATGCATGCATGCACACACATGCATGCACGCACGCACCCATTGAAAGATGAGTAGGGAAACAGTGGAGGCAGGGAGGTAAGTGATGCCTTGAAAGAAGAGTGGAAGGGCATGTGAAAAAATAAGAGATCTCTTCCAAGCATATTCAGACAAGATTCTGCTGATTTATCAGGTATATTTTGCCTTTATTCCAAATCCAATTTTTCCTTTTGCTGTGGATTTTCAAAATGACACGGGAGCTCTTAAAACTTGAAAATGCCTTTAAATAATTTGAAATAAGCATTTTTCTTTGAGGTCCACTTTTTCTGGAAAACTACATCAGTTATGCCCTCAGAAGAGTGGGCAGTGGGTCAGAACTGAAACTGGGTCTTATTCTGCCTTATTTCTTTCTGTTGGATGTTCTGAAGTAAATTTGTGAGAAGGGCAAGGCATCAATATTATATGTAAGCAGCAGAAAAACTTACAAAATGTTAGAAGAGCAGTTTGGCTTCAAAAAGAAAAATCTCACAAATAACATGCTAGTTAAGATTAGGTTAAATTATCCTAAATCTGTCTATTTTGCAAGCATGAAGTAGCCCACTGGTGACAGCCTAACTGAAATGTATCAAATTATAGGTCAGGATTTAGAGACCGCCTCTGTCTAGAGATCCCAAGTGTTCAGAGGAAAGATTGAGTTCAGTAAAGGTGGCATTAAAGCATTTTGGAAGTATCTGTGACTCATCTAATGCATGATAATAGTTTTTTCCTTTTCATTAATGCAAGAGTAGTGGAAGTGTACTAGTGGGAAGAAAGAAAGAAAAAAGAAGAATAGAGTTTTCTCTGAAATCCCTTTGAAGGTTAAGTATCATTGCATTGATTTGTGCTGGCCTAAAAAAGACAGTGAGCTTCTTAAAGTTTTTCTGTTGCTCTTCAGTATCTTTGCCTGTTGCACTTACTAGCTGTCTAGCCTTGACATACCCATCCATACGCTTCCAAAATGGTGTCCATAGCCTGTTACTAGTGTTTTTGTCTTAGTGATTTGGATTAACAGCAGTCTCTTCCTGCTGGCAATTCAAATATTTCAAGATCAGCTTTACAATTTTAGTTTTTGATATCTTAAAAACCGTATTATTGAAAGCTGGTAGGGAGAATAGAGCATTTTTGTTGTGAATACTTCTTACAGCATCTTAATTGCAAATGATTTCACTTGATTCTTATGTTGTGTATATATATCTGGGCATAAAGCCCTGTGAAACCCTGTCTAGTATAGAATAGTGCGGTCTACTATGAGCACATGCAAGCAATCTTCTGCTCCTGTGCTAAATTCCTGTAGAATTGAATCTTATTCCAGTTACTGCATCCAGTTGATCCAAAATATCATCTAAAACTCTGGAATGAGCGTCATGATTGACAGTACTGCTCATCAAATGCAGTGTAACTTTCCATCCCAAGGACAAAGCTTATTTGCGCACAAGGGGAAACTTTTGCGGTGTAGAAAGGGCTCAAAGAAACATCTCAACTGCAGAACAAACAGCCTGAGAAGTTGAGGATCATTGCAGACCTTGCTATCTTTTGTTCCATCTGCAAGGTGTACATCTTGTTAATTATAACATCTTCAACAAAAATATACCACTGGGTATATGTAATAAAAAGAAAAAACCCCAAACACTATTAATATCTATGCTTCTTGCCTCGGACAGAGGATCAGAGGATTCATGGAGCATGCTGACAATAACTGGTAGTCCTGTTGTTTTATGTCTTGGAAAATGCTAAGTCCCCTGGTGCAGAGGGTGGGATGATTAGTGTGCGGGCCGGGTGCGAGCCGGGCCCTTTTTCGTGCTGCACACGGGCTGTGGCCAGCAGTCCAGGCACGCGGGGTCGGAGAGAGGAGGCGCGTCAAGCTAGAATTAGGCACAGACTCGTAGCGGTAGATTTAAAGATTGTTTACTTACACCGGAGATGGTTGCGGTGCAGGCTGGAAAACTTGCTTGAGTTGCGGTTACAGACAAAGACAACGCGAACGGTCACGTGGAGTTTGCTAGGCTCCACGGAAACAGAGCTCCGGATGCTCTGGGTGAGCGCGCCACCAAAATCAGAAACTCGTAGATACGTCTTATAAAATTTGTCGCTCGAAGACGGGAAGAGGTGGGCAATGGATCAGGTCACCAAGCTCCTCTGAATCTCACACAGGGGTCTTTATTTCCCTGCCGTGTACCCAGCGTCCCCACGAGATGGATGTGGAGTCCTCTTCGGCTTGGGCGGAAACCGCTCAAGCCTCTTATATGGCTAACAGGCCAATCGTTAGCCGCCACGTGTGAATAATTTAGAACTAGCCAATAGCGGGACACAAATTTGCATGCGGGTGGCGGGAACTCCTTTGCACCATGCATTTCCCTTGCAACTTGAGCAATGCACTCTGCAAAGGAAGCTGCAAATAGGCGGGAAACTCTTCCTTGCACCGGGGTTCTCCTCTGCAGCAGAAAGCTCCACCGTGCAACAAAGCTGCAATTTGGCGGGGATAATTCTGGTGCCGAAGCGCGCACAAAATCATACCTTTGGGTTATGACAATTAGAACCTGCACTTCATAGAAGGTAGCTCTTCAGAACTGAAATGTTGAAAGGGCCTCAAGTCTTCAGAGCTGCAGATGTGCATCATCAGTGCAGCAGGTGCCTAAAGAGGACTTGGAAGTGGTCTGCAGGATCTAAGGATGTCTCTTGAGAGGGCAGCACAGGAAGCTTATGTGTGCATTTCAACATGTAGGTCTTATCTCAGAATTGAAGGTGTTTCCTATTAACAGTATCTTTCCTGAATATTTAACAAGCTCCCTGTGTAGGAAACTCTTGCTCTGAGCTATGCTTAGGGATTCCAGTGGATAACAAGCTAGGTGTTTAGCAAGCAGCTTTGTATAGCTAAGGCTTAAGAAATGCACGCGGAATTAAATAATGTGGTATCTTTTGATTTATTTATTTTTTTTATTATTGCTTTTTAATTTTACAAGATAAAGCCTTAGTGCATATGCTTTCAGGTGAAAGCATGAAAATGAATTCTAAATGTAAAAGCATGATGGACCAGAGTACATCAGGGTCTCATGTAAGTACGTGACTATGCCCAGCACGTTGCTGTTTGGTGCTTTGCTGATCACTAGATGTTTATTGGGAGGGGCCGTGAGAGGAAGTATGTACAGACCCATCTCCACATTCCTGGCTCTCTGAAGTATGCTGGCTTGAGAGAAGAAATGGTGTGACATCAATCCTGGGGGACAAAGGAAATGCATGGAGATGTTTGTTCATTTGAAAACAAGACCCACCTTTTGGTACTAGGGAAAAAGTATGATCTATGACTGCACAAGAATTGTTCCTTTGTTAACATCTAACCAAGTAAACAGAACAGAGACTTTGGAAAGGAAGTGCCTATTTGTAGTTCGTCTTGTTTACTTGGCTCCTAGCAGCCCCTTAACCTCAAGAGCCCTGGTTTTACCTTTACGTGGTAGGAAAGTAGGGCTGGAAGGGACCTCAGGAGGTCGTCTAGTCTGTTTAGTGTGGGTTTCAAATACGTTTTTTCAGAATGCGTTCCATGCAGAGTAACGACAAAGCAGATTTGTTTTGGCAGCCTAGCAAAGGAATTATCTTTTACCACTGAATATTAATGCTTGCATAATATGCCTGTATTTGACTCAGTGGTGTAATTAAGTGCCATCCCTTCAGGGGATGTCCCAGCAAATTGACCATTGGTGGAAGTTTAATGTGCATTTTTTTTTTCCTGATACACTCATTGTGCTTGGTAGATTACTGTTCAGTTAGTTAACACTTCCCTGTTTCTGAACTCCTGTCCTCATATTCAGCTCAGGAACTTAGAGGTGGATTGCGAGTGCTTTAATTATTGGTTTCTTTGCATTTTGCATGACAAGACTCAGAAGACTTGCAGGGCTCTTGTTCTTGTTGGATATGACAGAAAATAAGCAATGGAATGAGTACGCGGAGCTGCTGAGGTCCCAGTGTAGAGCTAGGTGTATCATGTCTTGCGCCTTTAGGATTATTTGCGTCTCCCCCTCTCTTACGTCCTACTTTGCCTGTGTTGATTGCTCATAGAGACCACAAAGTGAGACCCAGTGACATTAACTATTGCTGTTTTCTCCAGTAAGAAACCAGCTGTATGAAATGGAGAAAACTACTAGTTGCTTCTGCTGCTGAAATTTTTACTGTCCGTATTTTTTTGCATGAATCTCAAATGTCTTACAGGGAAAACAGTCTCCATTAAGCAAATATAGAACCTCTCCACTTAAATTATTAATGTTTATCCCCTGAGCTGTATTTTCAGATACTTAGAAAGTGCTATGCAGCTCTTTTTAAGGTAGAGCTGCATAGCACTATGTACATTTTATTTGAATTTTTATTAACTTTCTTGCAGAGGGGCTGTTATATGCTAAGGGGACCCTTGCCAGGCTTCTAAAAAATAAATGCACTAATTCAACATCCCTGATGATAATAAGGTAGCAACAGTAACATACCATCTCCTGAGTAGCCCCAGCAAATACTGGCACCACCTGTAGCCAGCTATACTTCATGCTTCCTGCACATGCAGGATGAAATAGGCTTGGCAGCGCACCCTCGGAGCTACAGAGAGTGACTGTTACGAGCAGAGGTGGCCGAATGAGCTCTAAGACTATGTAGGTGTCCTGCCATCTCCAATACCAGAAGGGCCTTCACTAAGTAACTGTGGTAGAGGGGCTGAGCTAGGCCACACCAGTGCAAGCTTAGAGTCTGTTAAAGAAGTAACTAGGTCACTTTTTCTAATATTTTGAAGGCCAGAAGTAACTCAAACTTGACTTTGAGATCAAGGCTGGTTTGTGAGGCTGGCCAGTGGTGAAGACACATCTGCAAGCTGAGGGAATTGGATCCACAGTAGAAGTTGAGTGTCAGATGTGGATCTCCCTGATGTAATTCTCACTCAAACAATTTAATGCAGGTTTAGAAACAGCGGGTCGTTGTGTTTTCCCTGTTGTACTGAACAGGCAAGGAGGAGAGCAGCGCAGATGGAAATCTAATACAAACAGTTTTTAAAGATGAAAGGATGTGTTTAGGTCCCTTCCAAGCGGTGGGAAGATGCAGGGGCTCATGCAAGTAAACAGAAACCTATTGTTATTTTATCCTTATCTCACTCTTCTGTTTAACTCTTTCATTTCCTCCTCTGAAGCCTTTGTGAAACTAATGCAACAAAGGGTCCAGTCATGCATGATTTTTCAAAGCCCGTCTGAAAAGATGGGCGGAGACTTTTTTAGTTTGCTTTTTGTTGGGATATTTTTTTCTTTCTTTTTTTTGATCGATATTAATACCACTACGTCTGGATAAGTGGGGTAAATAGTCTATTTTTTAGCGCCTACTACAAAACAAACTAGAAATGCTGTGTATGGACTGCATATCTTAGGGCAGTGGGTCTCAAACTGTGGTCCCCAGATGCTTTCTGGTGGTCCATGGATAGCTCAGTTGTGTCCTGCTGGGAATGAGAAAGTCAGCTATTGATTCATGTCAAATGAGTTAAAATACATTAAATATTTTAGTATTATGTTGTCTTCTAAGCAGTTAATTTAAGGTGACATTTATTTGACCATTGGTAGGTTGGAAGCATTGGCCCATCAATGGCAAATGGTGAGGAGGGTAGAAATATCCACAGGACACTAAGTTAGGACTCCAGAGATTGGGGGTAGGATAATCTTTCTCTGAGAAGTTACTAGTTCAAATTCTTCTCAGGTAAGTCATGAATGAAATCTTATTCCACCTGATGGTGTTCAGTGGCCAATAGGAAATGAGCAGAAATAGTATCTTCATAGAGTCTTGATTTTAGCTTTTGCTAGACCATTTCACATTTCAAAATCCCCTAGCATAATGGACCTGTTGGCAACCTCAACCTAGTAAGAAAGGACTGTGAAGAGTGACCTAACTCATTCCCTTAGGGAGAACCCTGACTTGGAGTGACCAAAGTGCCATATATCAGAACTATATCCGTTAGGGTAAGCATATGTCCCCAGTTTGCCTGGGACAATGCCAGATTTGAAAAGGCAGGTCCCAACCAGTTGGTGAAAATTAAAATGAAAGTCCCAGAATTGCAGGGGCATGGGACGCAGTCTGGTGGGGAAGTGGAATGGTATGGTGTGCCAGGCAGGCGGGCACCATGCTGCTCGTCTTCACCTCTGCCTCTGCCTGCAGCAGTGCCTCTGACCTTGGCAGGGAGCGAGGAAAGCGGCAGTGTCCTGGATTTCCCATGGCCACCCCACACTTAGTGCCAGCAGAGGACTTCTCCATCCGCTGTGTTTAGCAAGGCAGTCGTCACAAGCAGCACATTCCTGTAGAGAGAGAACTCTGGAAATCCCAGTGCTGAGTTTAATGTTGGAGAATCAACATAACTTGTCTGGGAGACTTGGACTATGTAGCAAATTCTGCATCTTGGGTGTTCAGAACAGTTGGTGCATACAATACAGAGTTAACAACATTTTTAGGACAACTCTTTTGTAATAGGTGAATCGCATTCTTATGCTTTTTTTCTGAAACATTTTGATTACTTTGGCAGCTAGTTCTAGGTAGAACATGACTTAAAAAAATTAAGGGGGGGGGCAAATTCTGTTTCTGTTAAATGGGGTAATGGGGGAGCCAACACTTGTCTGTTTCTTGATTCTAAATGAGAAGCTGAATAAATGTTTCTGCAAGGTTTGGGCCAGTTTGACTTGAAACAGACTTCAGATTGTGGTCCCTATGTAAGCAGTGATAACATGTTACTATAGAAACATGTGATGCAACTCTCCAAGAGTAGTTCTGTCCCCTCTAAAGCATGATTATCTCAGACCCTTTGAATAGATATTCTTCTCATGTGATTTCCATCATTTTTGCATCAATGGCTAGGTTAAAGTTGAAATAAACAGTGCATCAGATGAACAAAATGCACTTAAAAAAAACTTCATTAGAAGAATAAATTTTATTTAGAAACTATTTTAATTTTAAATTGTGATGTTTTACCATACAGTGCAAGTCTCAACTTGTCTACGCTGAATTCCACAGCCCAGTAGGTTTACTTAAAACTGCTTAAAGGCATATATAATTAAAATAATACATCTTTTAACTGGACCTCAGTAAATACTATTCTGAACAATTCTGAATAGTGCAGCAGTCTGTCTTGGTAAAGGAGATGAAGAGGATTATTATATTGCATTTGTGTATGTTTACTTCTTAATTTACCATTAAATTCTCTAGTCTGTTGCAGAGACACTTACTGTGGGTAGGCTATAAAATTTGCTCTAAGGTTGTTTTTTGGGGGGGGGGGGGGGGGGGGGCTTTTTTTTTTTTTTTTAACCTCCTTGAAGAGTCTTACTGATAATACATAATGCATATTTGGGATTTTGCTTTTGAAACGTCCTATTACGAATAAAAAAAGAATGCTGTAATATTTCAGTAAGGGAGTATGTGGCTGCTCCAGAATTTTTTGTGCAGAATGTCACTGAGAAGTTGACTTAATGATGTGCCTGTTCTCCCCTCCCCACCTTCCACAAAAATGTACAAGCAAAAAGTTCTGTTAGAAAGTAAAAACTGACCTGGGGAGGAGGGGACCTAAACTTAGACATGTCAGAGGAAGGTCCTACCTCCCTGACCTTGTTACTTGCTTTTGCATCTTTAAGTCTTCCACTCTTGTCATGTTTTGGCAGTAGCGCTCCTTGATTAGCACTTTTGATTAAGCAAGAGGGCTGCAATGATCTCCATGAATTCTAAGAAATGCATGGGAAGGAAGTGACATTTTCTGCAAGAGCTGTTAACACATCTGAAACTTGTTTGGGTTTGTATAATCCCTAATTTAAAAGATGTGCGAGCAGGCAGAGATCAAGGTGCTTCTATTGGAAAGATTAAGCAGTGAATGGTCAGTGGCAATTTTTTTTTGTATTTGAGACTCAGCAGTCCTGAGAAGAGTGGCTGTACACAAGTGGTTCTTAGTGTTTGCTCTTCCCCATGCAATGGCTTAATGCATATGTGAACCCTGAAGAAAAGTTGTTCACCTTTTTAATCTCTCTTTATAGTTTCATCATGACAACAGAGAAGAGCTTAGTGGCTGAGCCCGAACATCCTAAGGAACAGCAGCCAAAGGAGGAAGACGTAGCTGCTGAAACTCATAAGCAAGAGTTTTCTTTGGAGGAAGAGGCTCCCCAACAGGCATCTGAGGGACATAATCAGCCTGGGCAGAAGCAGAAGGCCTCCAACGGTGATACCCCCACACACGAGGACCAGAGCAAGAAAGAGCACCGCACTTCTGAGGGTCGGGGCCTGTCACGCCTATTTTCATCGTTTCTCAAAAGACCCAAATCTCAAGTCTCTGAAGACGACAAAGAAGCTGAAACTCCAAAGGAACCAGGGGAAGGAGACCAGAAAGAGAGAGACTTAGGAGCCAGCCCTGATGAAGAGATTCTGTTGAAGGCTCCAATAGCGGCACCAGAGCCTGAACTGAAGACTGATCCATCTTTAGATCTTCATTCACTCAGCAGTGCAGAGACACAGGTAAGAAAACGAAACAAAAATGGGTAAATAACAGGTGTTATAGATTCATTGCACTTGGTTTACTAGAGAGACAGATTGTATTTAAGATTATTTGTCAAATTAAATAAAGTTTAGACACAGATAAAGTAGGCATTTGCTGCACCGCTAATTTGCAGAGCAGTGGCTTTTGTTTGACACCAGGAAATCCTGGTGTCAAAAAAAACCCATGCCAGAAAAAAGCAGGGTGGTGTATGTGGTAGCAATGTGTGCTGCCTAAAACCGGAGCCTGGATGCCTAGAGCTACACTCCAGCTGCCAGCCAGGCTCTGGGCATCTGGATCACCACTGCTGCAGCCCAGGGAGGCTGCCAGGACCCCAGGTAAGGCTGCTGGGGCCAGCACAGGTGGTCCTAGCCTGTTACACATTTGTGCTGCTGCTTTTTTTCCCCATGGCAACGGTACACCTGTGCTCATGGGGGCATGGCCATTAAGTGCATGCAAGCCCCTAGTGAAAGTTTAGGACCTCAGAGTCCTCAGTTGTGGTTACACCCTGTTTTTCTGGGGCCCCACAGATACTAACACTGAGCACTAAATGTAGGTAGACTTTTTAAAGGATTGTAAGAAAATTAGAGAACCGGTTTCCAGGAACTCTGATTTAGTTTTTTAGGCTAGATCATAAAACTTTAAAAAGGTTGATATAATTTCTACCTTAGAGATGAAAAACTGAAGCAAAGGATATAATAGACAATCAAAAGTAGCTGTATGTTTTGGATCTTGGGTTTGAAATGCAGAGGTCAGGCAAAGTGCTTTTAGTTGGACACCTAAAGATTGATGGCCAATTCCTTTTTTCTTTTTTTTTTCTTTTTTTCTTTCTTTCGGTCTTTGTGGGGAAGCCACATAGTAGGCAAGTGGTAGAGCCTGGGATGGAATTCAGCTCTCTCTAGTTTTGTCTATATGGCACGATACATTGTTATGTAAGGATGGGCCAGCTCAGGTGCGAGAGATCGTATAGCCATGTTGGTGCAGGTTAATTAGCTCCATTGAGAAACAGGGATCATTAGCCTAGTGGAACACTACATTAGCTCAGGCTCATTTTTTTGCTCAGAACTGGCTCAGGTATCTTAGACGAGCCCTGCCCTGTGTCTTGTAAAGAAACCCTTGGGTTTCACACCACTGATTTAAGCACTTGTTCGCACTGCCTGACGCTAGGGTTGTGTGTCAGTGAGGTAAATATGAAGTCTACAGCCCATGTCTTTGAATTTTAGAGAAATACGAGCTCAAAGGTTACATTATTGCCAACCCCAAGAATTCTGTCCCGCTGCCGTGAAAATATTCTGTGTACAAAAATACTAAAGTGTGCGCTGTTTTCAGGCAAGTGTGACAGTCTGTTATTTTAATACATGAATAAGCTAATTTGCTGGCTGCCTTGCCTACAAGATTCAGTTTCAGGTAGGGGAAGAATCTGACACACCTTAAATGAGATGCTACTAATGGATTATGAAGACCTGCACAGTTTAATCAATCCTCTTTTTCTTTCATGCTTTGATAATTTCAATCAATCGCAGTAACTATTAGTGTATCATTAGATTTTAGAATTAACACCCAGTTGAACTCTTCTTTATTCAACTTGTGTCAGAGCTGTTGTTTTGGGTATTTTGCTCAGGGAGATGGTACTGCGTTGATTTACATTTCAGTTATTTTCAACTAGCAGGGGCAGAAATATAATTCAAGGTAAAAAGTATAAATTAGAGAGAGCAGGTTACAGGCTCAGAGAAAAGCACTGGTGGTTTGAGCTCCTGAGAACTGGGCAAGTTTGATCTCTGGTGGGTTTTAATTACCTAAAATTACATCTGTTCAATCAATATGCTGTTTGTGTGACACTACTTGCTCGAAACATTTAAGTAATAGATTTGTGTGTATTGTGGGGTTTCAGCCTGCTCAGGAGGACAGAAAAGAAGATCAGGACCCAGACATCAGAGACTTTGAGGTTAAGGAAGACGGTGGTGTGCAGGAAGAGTGTTCCAGGGCAGAGGTGAAAAGAGAGAACCCGGAGACAAAGGCAGACAAAGACTTAAAGGCCACCCAGAGAACAGTGAAAAAACACAGAAACATGCACTGCAAAGTTACCTTGCTGGATGACACCATTTTTGAGTGTACTATGGATGTAAGTGCTTTTGTTCTTTCAGTATGTACAGATGGGAGAAGCTGAAAGTTGCACATAAATAAGGGTCTAATAGCATGTCAGCAAAGTGAATGGCAAAACTTTGTTGGAGAAGAATCATGCCCTAAGCTATAATAATTATTTACAATGTACAAAAAATGGTCTGACACTTTGGAAATTACCCCCCCAAAAAAAAGAGCGAGAGAGAGAAAAAGTGCTTGACTAGTTGAAGGCATTTTAAAAAAATCGTTATTATCTGTGTCTCACCCTCCTCTCCCGTCCTCCCCTCCCACCCCCTGCCCCCCAAGCTCTTGATGTTTCAGACTACAGTTAGATTCTGATATCCTACTAAGGTTCAACTATATGTCTAAATATTTTCTGGCTTTGAGTTGAACAATGTGTATTGTCAGCTGGTTTTATGTGCTTTGGCAAGCTTTTCTCTCAGCTCAGAATAGCTTAGAAATATAAGATTACATTGCTGCTGACTAATAACCAGAGAACAATTTCAGCAAAGCTCATCACAGAAAAAATTTAGATTGCTTCCACATGAACTTTTGTCAAAATATTGTTTGTGGTCCTTTTCTTTTAATCAAATTCTTCCTGTTTATACACATCAGATCTTGAAAGACTTAGCTGAGATGCTTACTGGGCATAACTCTTTCATTTATTTATTCTCACATCAATGTTTGTACGAATTCTTACTGAATGGTTACAGTAGTATTGCTGGCAGTCCACACGTGCTCTTGACCTAGCCCTCATGAGGGAGTGGGCTGTCTTTAAATAGCCACTAACAGAATTGTTGGCCCACAAGGCATTTTGTGTTTCCACATAAAAATCATAGCAAAATGACAATGTTTTGCATATTGTTGAATATGTTTGGACTAAACAGCAATAGAATTTAGAATCCACATCAAAGCGACTCCAGTAGTTCTGTAATGCTATGTCTGAATATTTTTTGTTTTACATTATTTTTATTATATACTATTTCATCAGATGACCCACTGTGACAGGAGTAAAACATTTATCAGAGATCTCTACCTCAGTCTCTGAATATTTGGCCCAAATGTTAAAAAAATCAGATATTTAGCATTTGAGATTTCATGAATGTGTTAATATCTGAATCTGCTAGTTAAGTTAAGATTACAGAATTATAGATGCCCATTTGTGGTCTGTTTGAGTCCTGGGGCTTTTTGTGCAAAGCAGTTCCTTGGATGTACAAATAGGTCACTGCATCTGTGTTTGTAATACTGATGCTGCTGCTTTTGCATAGAATTGGCTACTTAAATTTATCACTGGATCATCAGCATTTAGGGTATGTGTGGGTTGTAAAGGTGGGGTTTTTTAATGAGCAGAACCTACAAGGTCCTTGGTTATAAAGTTGACATCCATAGGAAAGAAACGTTAAGCATCGTGGATGAGCAGTGGGTTCAGTACTGCTGCCCTGGACAGCGTGTTATTTTTAAGTTTCATATACCACTGCCTGGAGCTGTGCTTGGTTGGTTGTTTTAAAAAAATATATATTTTCTCGTGATTTCTGCCTCTTTCTTAACTTGTATGATTGGTTGATGATAGCATGAGGCAGTATGATAGGTACTATTACCTCACCCTGGGTAACAAGATAAATCTCTTCCACATTATAACCCAGAAAATTATGGTAAAGTTAAAGATCAGATTGTATAACACTCTCTTCTGTGTAAACATATATTGATGCAACTACTCCCATTGTCTTTACCTGCAACATAATCTCACCAGTTTGTGAGAAACGAGTTAAA